TAGTTACAACAGTGACAGTATGGCTTTTTGTTTTTAGACCCATAGTTACAACAGTGACAGTATGGCTTTTTGTTTTTAGACCCATAGTTACAACAGTGGGAGTATGGCTTTTTGTATTTAGACCCATAGTTACAACAGTGGCAGTATGGCTTTTTGTTTCAATTATCAACATTTTTTTGACAAGAGCTAAAATTGTTGATGTCAATGATATTGATATGTTTTAAGTACGGTACCGGTATGTTCATTTCATTGTCATCACTAAGTGTTATTTCAACTATTTCTGGAGCGGCATATTGTGTCCCTACTTATTATGATACTTATTAGAAAATAAAATGAAACAAATAAAACGTGACATATTTTTTCGGCTAAACATTAATACACAACATGTAACTGAGATCTAAAATATTTGAACAAGTTTATTAGAGAAAAAACAAATGGATGTTAAAGTCTATGAGTGGAATTATACAAAGAAAATTAAACAGTCAAAAGAGCTAAGAGTATATCACAATGTACAGTTAGAACAGCTGTCAGTATCTATAAACATGGTTTATGCGGCTGATCTGCATGTCCATGTTGTTTACATTTTTTTAACAAAACTTGAATGAACATTCTAACAAAATAGATTGAAACTTGTAACATAAGTAACAATACTATATGAATATAATAATAAAACTATGTGAACAGAAAAAGAAAGCTATAGGAAGAATATTATTATAACACTACGAAATAACCATTAAATATTTTTTTTTTTTTTTATTTATAAAAATTAGGCTTCCCCGACGGGGAATCGAACCTATGTCTGCTGGGTGACGGTCGGAGATACTGTCCACTACACTACCGAGGTGATGTGAATAAACGAACTTTGTATTTTATATTCATTATTTAATTTATCACATTCTGCGAATAACGGCGAGCGTTATCGGCAGACCGAAATCTGTGAATAACGGCGAGCGTTATCCGCACAGCTCTGTGAATAATCACTTCGTTATTGAATAGTATTAGTAGTATTATTAGTATTGACTCTTTTATCTAGGTGACTAGTCTTAAACTTATTAAGTGGCTAGTTGATGTAGTCACCTGTGGTGGTAGTCAGTGTCGTGTAACTGTAACGTGGGGTTGGTAATCTCATTCATAATTGTGTAACTTACTGATAACTTATACATGTTACATGATATTTAAATTAGTTTATGTAGGCCTGTAAGAAATATAGATAATATTTTACCATATTATATTTATATATATTCCGTTTAAATAGCCATAATGTGTGTTGTCCAAAGAAACTCAAGGCCAACGGTCTTAAACCTGTTAAATATACAAACTAAGTTTGTTTAACGATTAGGCCTAGTACTAGTACTACTATGCTAGTTACTAGTCAATAGCCATGTAGGCCTGCCTACTGACCGAATGATAAATTTTTACCAGGATGACCTAGATTTACAAACTACATTTTTTTTTTTTTTTTTATGTTTAAGCTTCCATTTCTATTTTTTTCTACGTAATTAATCAAAATCATTTGGGTGTATTGTTTAGCTATGGATGCATCGGCCAGGGACCTTTTCAGACAATAAAACTGAAACATCATTAAAACAAGTCATGTCTGATTGAGTGACCGTCAAATATGTGGAAAATGACAACCTGTGGCTCAGTGGCGTGCGTGTGAACCTGTTGTTTAATTTTGTCTACTCCGCTGAACCTGTTGTTTAGAATTTCCAAAAAAGAAGAACAATTTAAACAATATACTTTAAACAATATACAAATACATTGCTGTTTTTTTTTCTATAACGGAGAAGTATTGAACCTGTTGTAGATTGACAGCACACTTCTGCCACTGCCCACACCTAGGGGTGGACTGGGGAGTTCAAGCGGCCCGGGAAAAAATCAAAGCGGCCCTATTTTCATGACTTTTATATCACCGGTCCTAGCGGCCCATCGGGAATCTTCCCGGCGGCCCAGTCCACCCCTGCCCACACCTACATGTTTAAACTGAAAATATGACTTCCTGAGATTCTGAAAAGGCATTGAAAAGGGGAGAAATTTGGCTGGCACAGAATGACAGAACCAACGTAATAACAAAATTTAATCATCTTTAATTTTTTTTAGTATTTTAGCACGTTATTATTTATTTATTAGTCAAATTCAGTAATTTACTAATTCAAATTGGTGATGTGCGATGTTTCCTGAAATTCAAAGTTTTGTTGTCTTTTTTTGGCCTACATAATTATATCATAATAAAGAAGAATAAACATGTGTATAGTAATGAATAAATAAATATTCTTTAAATAAAATTAAATTTTCCAAGATGATTTGTTTGCATTAAGTTTTGCAATTTTATACCATTAGCCATTCGGCTATACTTAAACTTAATAAAATATTCTAAACCCCATATCCCTTTACTATTTTCCATTCATTTCGGCTCTCGACTTATGGTGAGACCCTTTGCTTTGCAAGAAAATAAATCAGTCAAAGTCAAAGGTTAGTGATATTGACATGATACAGTTACAAAATAAAACTTAGTAACCATTCGCTGTATATAGATAGTAAAGTCGTTTTTTTTAAAAATAATCCGATTTTTTTTTAAAATTACAGATTATATATATAGTCTAGTAAAGATAATTAATTATTAATTACTGGGTTCTGATATTATCGGAGCTTATGCCTTATGACTGACAGTGCTTATGACTTATGCAAGTTTTAAAAACTTTCACTGAATCCAATTTATTTATTTTATTACAACTAGACTACAACATTTAACATGGTCATGGTTTAAAGTTTAAGTAATAAGTAAGTAAGCAAGTTAAAAACTACAAAATAAAAAAATTAAAAATGAACACTCAAATAGGCTTAGACTTAGGCCTAACACACTCATAACACAGCCTAACATAAGACAATAAGTTTTTAGTTAAGTGAGATGACACAAGATCAGTTCAAGTATTTGAAATCCCTATTATTAATAGGCTATTAAATAGGCTATTACTATTGACTGTTGTCAATTGTCACTATTGACATAATTAACTATTATTAATACTAATACTGAATAATTAGTAGTATTAGCACCAGGAAAAAATTTAAAGATATAATATAAAAATATATGTTTATACTATATCCATAAATAATTGTTTATTTTTGGACACCAATGATTTAAAACAAAAATATGGTCGCCTTTTATTAAAGTCAAAGCCCAGGAAAGTGACAATAATAATAGAATAAGTTGAATAATGTTTAATTTCAATAATTCACTGCCTGACATGTGGTGATCTTTGAATGGCTCACATTCAAAATTTTAAGTATGCACTTTATTGAAACTGTGGTGCTTTTAGTTTTAGTTCTATATTCTATTGCTTTTCTATTTCATTCCAGGGGTGCCCACGCTGCTTGATTGCATCAAATGGAGTGACACACGGTTATAATTCGGTAGCACTTCCACTTAAGACTACCACCATACCAGAATTGACTGTTCTAAACAACCAACCTTCTTTTAACTCCAATTTAAACATTCACCCCATATTCATTTCTCAAAATTTGATCTATGTTCACTTCTAAATAAATCAGTCCACAGTAAATACGTTAATACTAAAATACCATTAATGTAGGCCTGCTACATGACAACTCACAAGACAAGTTTAGGTAAGTTCATTAATAAAAAGGTTTTTTTAAAAATATTTACCGTATTAAATGTTTTGTTCTTTTAACAAATTGATAAGCAAGATCTCTTTACTTTTGTGTTTATTTCAAATATTTCTCTTTTAAGATGCCTATCTAATAACTCTTCTTTTTTGGGTAGAAGATCTGTCAATGGCAGAGAAGGGTCAAACCAGCTCCATGACTTCTGTAACGGAAGAAGACTCATCTCCGGACTCTGAATCTGATACAACAGAATCGCTTTCCAATCACACTTCTTCTGTCATGAGCAGCACTGACACGGATGACAAACTGACCCCAGGATTAATTAATATTACAATATCAACAAAACCAACTAAGACAAGAAAACAGCAGAACATGGTTGAAATGAAAAATACAGACGAATGCGAAGCTATCAGTCCTGTAGAACCTGATGATTTTCCTTTGAAAAATGCAGAAAGTGAAACTAGCTATAAACTTCCTCTTCCTGAAACTTTCATTACATCTTATGTTTTTCCATATGGCTCTAATCCTCTTCCGTTGGAAGGTACAGATTTCAGTTCCATGGCATACATGAAAAAAAAAAAAGGCATCTCATTACCTCCAAAGTATCAAGGTCAGTCTAGTAACCTTGGTGAGGATTATGGCTGTAAAGAAAATCTAGGCCTTGATGATACCGACAACAAATTGAGCACAGACTTTTCGGATACAAGCAGTATACAGATTCAAAGAAGTAGAGGCAATGGGACAGCGGATATAGTTGATGAAGCTTGTGCAGCAAAAAGATACAAGACCAGTCATCAGAGGCCATTTTATCCTGACCTATCCTCTTCACATTGGTACCAAGCCAGCTGCTTCGACCACTACTGGAAACACTACAGATTTGTTATGGACTGGTATCAGAAACATATTGAAGCTATAAAGACCTTGCAGGGTCAGATGGGAGCGCCATTGTTTTTCCCTTCACATTTCAACACCGTTTCACCTCAAAGATCACATCATCAGTATTCTAGAAGAAATGAAAGATTAAAGAGATCCAGGTAAACTGACTGACCATCAGATTTGTTAAGTTGTCATGGTAGAATCTTGTTATAACAATTATTAATACAATCTTCTTACATGTTTTTTTAAACAGGGAACAACTGCTATTTAAAGAGTGATAGTTTTAAAAAATATACCGCAACTACTAAGCTTTTTTTTTTTTTTTTTTTACTACACTTACACTGTTTTTTTAAATTTTGCATTTTTTTTTACCAGTATAATTTTTATATTTGTTTTCGAAAGTCATTTTTTAAATTTTTTTTTTTTTTTTTTTACTACACTTACACTGTCTTTATAAATTATGCAATTTTATGTACCAGTATAATTTGTATAATTGTTGTCGCAAGTCATTATTTAAATCAACAAAACATTTCTAACAGGAGGAGGTCCAATGCTAGGACAAGAAAAGAAAAGTGTGGCTCTACGTCTCTCTCTGTGTCAGATGAAGTGACTGGAACTGGTGGTTCATCAGGACACAGCCGTGAAGTTCTCAGTGATGATGAAAATATAGAAATGGAAATAACTGAAGACATGGTTCAATTTTTTGCAACTTCATTGAAACATAAATTGGAAAGAGGTAGAATAGCCAGATTTTTTTTTATCCTACACTATCAAATAGGCTTTGTCATTTCTTAGACCGGAAAACGACATAGCGTACTATTTTTAGAAGGTCAGCGGACAAATATTGCTTAAAACAAGGCAGCTTAAAGTGTGTTTCAGCATATCTTTCGGACGATCCTTGTATCTAGAGTTTCTGTTACATTTGCCGTTCGAGCAATGAAGTCACATTTCAGAAAATAGAAGTAAAAAAAAATATGTAAAATATTTTTTAAAATAGAGTTGTAAACAAATTTCAAGGACACTTCGCTAACATAGTAATACTGAACAGTGTTGACATTTTGTCCGCGCTGAGTACCCGGATGATGAGTAATAATGACATCAGTTCTATTAAAAGATTTCCGCCATTAAATGACAAGCCCAATACTGACTATTGCTTGCTACCTAAGGTAGTACCTTATAAGTTTTCCTAAAAGTAAAGTGCACCTTTTTTATTAATTACATGTATCTAAAAAATTGAGTTATCTATGACTTGATGTACTAGTCAGTCCTATGCAGTGATTGCATGCAAGTAGGGCTTAGAATGATAAAACTTAAGGACTTAATTTTCTTGATATCTTATAACAAACAACCCCCCCCCCCCCTCTTAACCACAGGGCTAAATAACAGGAGCCTTAACTAATAAAAAAAAAATTGAGTTATCTATGACTTGATGTCCTAGTCAGTCCTATGCAGTGATTGCATGCAAGTAGGGCTTAGAATGATAAAACTTAAGGACTTAATTTTCTTGATATCTTATAACAAACAACCCCCCCCCCCCATCTCAACCTGAAGGAAAGAGAAATGGTTCTTTACATAATAAAATTTCAAATCTATGATATCAAATGTACATTGGTAACTATGATTGAAAACTGCACTAAATCACTAAAATATTAACCTAGTTTTTTAATAGAGATTTTGAATTGAACTGAATAGTTTTATTCAGGATTATATTAATAAATGCCAAAATAATGAGAACTATAGAAAACTTTATGCAAGTTACAAAAATTATTTTCTTGATAATTTACAAATAGTTAAAGCTTAAATTTATTTTAAAAAATGAAGTTTTGCATTTCCTTTGAAGATGTTTGCCAATCAATGACATTGTTAAAGTTTAAAAGTGGGTTGGATTTTTTTATTTCAAGAATTCGAGAAAGCACTTGTATTTAATAATTTGATGTATTGTGTAGCTTAAAAAAAGGTAAAATTCTTTTTTTTTTGTCATCAGACAATGCAAAACAAGATTCTGATCTGGAAAATGGTCAAGAAAGATTGAATATTGAAGAAGGTAAGAATAATTAACTTGACGTTATTAATTTTATCAGACCCAGAGAGGTGAGCCCACCCAGATCTGTTTCCCATGCTCACACAAAAAGAATCTTAAGAAGACATCACAAGAATTTCAATAAAGACCCGAGTTAGCAACTGTTTGCATTGTTTTTAAGATGTATGACACGTTCCTTTTTAAGCACATACCTGGAAATTATATTTTTACTTTGATACATTATTCTGCATGAACACCATCTCTTAAACTATAATTGATACAATGAAAAACCCTGTTCAAAATGACTTTTTTGTTTAGAATAATTAGTAGCTTTTATTTATATGTCCTCAGCAAGGAAAGGCCAGCAGAGCCACAGCATATTGGCACCACGAGAGCAGCCCGGCGTGAGAAGAGCAACAGAATTGAGAGAGCTCTATGGAGCTGGCGCTCCTATGATACATGGCATGGAGACTGCCCTTCAGATGACATACGATCGATTTTCTGACAAATTTCAATCAAAAATGTGGCCAAATATGCCTTTAAAAATCATATTTACTTAAAAATTATCTCTGGGCTTTGTTATAAATGTTCACTGTAAGTTAACTATTCACATATTTTTACAGTTGAATAAAATTTCTGTTTCAAACCATCATCCCTATATTATTTTTATGACTTATATTGTAAAGTGTCCCCACAGGCATTAATCAATTGGAAAAAGCTGCTAACTTATAATCAAAATTATTTTCTTAAAATAGTGTGGTTGCAATAAAATTCAGTAAACATCATCATTGGATCCATAAGTTGCTACATACTGATTTTTTAAAATATTATTAGCAGGAGACGTTTAAATGTGCTAGCAAAGTGCCCTTGCATCAAAGGGATTCACCACAACTGAAAACATTGCAAATTCTGATCCAAATTTTTACATATGATAGCGTGGCAGAAAAGATAATTCTGAACACAATGCCATAGAATAATAAAAGGGCATACTGGTACTCATAAGTCAAACTGATTGTCACCTGATCAAATTAAGTATATCTTTCTTTATTTTAGTTTTTAAAGGGGGGGGGGGGGGCTGCTTCACAAACAATAGGAACAGTGCAGCTAAGCTGTACAAGATCCACAAGATTATGCCAATAAATTTATCATTGAAGACACTTGTCATAAGCTCAACAATTTGACTAGGACTTGTAATATAGTTCAGTGACAGGCTGTATGAGATGAACAATACTAAAGCGACCATGGTCAATATAAAAAATAAAAATTGTCCAGTTTTTAAAACCACCATCATCAAAGTCTACCATTAAAATCATAGTAATATTAAATAATATAAATTGTTGTCATGGAAACAGAACCAGGGTTAAACTTTCATAAGAATGAAAAGAGATATTTCTGTTTTTAAAAATTGTTTATTCCTAGGTCATGAATCACAAAAAACATGCTTCTCACAATTCAGTCTCGGGTACCCGCTACTACTTAAGTTAATTAGTAGCAAAAAGGGGGAAATGTGTTTTTGATGAAAGAGTGATTGTGACCCAAATGTAACACAGACTTGCGGAAAAAACACTAGCTAACTAACTTGTATAATTAACCTTATACTATCACAATTGACAGTGGATAGTATTAGTAACAAGCAAAAGCAAATATTTTTTTGGGGTGATAGATTAGATTTTTTTTTTTAAACAATTACAAAGCATTTAACTTTAACAAAAAATATTATTCATCTCTCTATTATTAATGATAAAATGCTGGTTTGAATCAACAGAAATGATGTTTATTTTGAGAATGATTTTTTCTTCAATGTATTGAAAAATTTCAAAATAATTCATGATGCATCATCTTTCATTTTTATGATGCTTTCTTAAAAGGTGCAAAGTAACTGATTAAAATTGAGATATTTCTTCAAAAGAAGGAGGGAAAAAAGCACAAAATTTCATTTTTTAACAAAAATTTACTGGTTGATACTAATGGAATATTAAATTAAAAAAATAACTGAAATTAAAAGATTATCATAAATCAATGAACAATCAATGAAACTTAGGTAAAGCAGTCGTCCCGATATGCATATTCAATTGGAACTGAAGATATAATAGACCTAAAGTAGCAGAAGCCTTCCTGGCAATAATAGGAGGAAAATTTGCAGCGCTTAACATCATAGATGCCGACTGTTCAGACATGGACACATTGATTGATAACTTCAACACAGCTGTGACGGACACAGCTCACGACATCCTCGGTAAACATCGACCAACCTGAAAACCATGGGTGACATCTGACATACTTGATCTGTGTGATAAACGGAGGCAGTTAAAGAAAACAAAAATGGTAAATACAGAGGGGGGGGGGCCATTAAATATAGGACAGTTAATCAAGCCATCAAAAAAGATATGAAAAGGGCAAAGAAGAACTGGATTAAAGAGCAATGCTACGACATTGAAAACTGCTTGAAGAAAAACAATAGCAAAAAAGCTTACCAGTTGGTGAAAGAACTAACCACTGCAAAACAAGGACGTAGTACTACCATACAGGATAAAAATGGTAAATATTTAACCGAAGAAAATGATATCATCAAACGATGGACTGAATACTGTTCAGAGCTGTATAATGAAAGTATAAAGATAGACCCAGAGATCCTTAATGTCCCTCCAGCAACAGACAATGATAACTAGCCTATTCTCCGCGCAGAAGTAGAAGCAGCAGTCCAGGCACTCCAAACAGGAAAGAACACCGGAGTGGATAATATCCCTGCCGAGTTGGTGAAACAGGGAGGAGAAGCAATGGTAAGTGCCCTATTCAAAATTTGTAACAAAATATGGCTGACAGGAGAATGGCCCAAACCATGGACCCAATCACTCATCATCACCCTCCCCAAAAAAGGTAACCTACAGCTACGCCAAAACTATCGCACAATTAACCTAATAAGCCATCCAAGCAAGGTCATGCTGAAGATCATATTGAACCGACTAAAACCATATGCCGACAGAATCATTGCCGATAAACAGACGGGCTTCAGACAAGGACGGGGCACTAATGAGCAGATTCTAGACCTCCGAATACTATGTGAGAAATATGCTCAACACCAACAAAATCTATACCATGTCTTTGTTGACTTCAAGAAAGCATTTGACAGGGTTTGGCATGCTGCTTTATGGGCCACCATGAGGCACTACAACATCAACACAAACCTAACCAGCATGATATGCAACCTCTATGATAAGGCCACCAGTGCAGTCTTCCTCAACAACAACATCGGAGAATGGTTCAAGACCACGGTTGGAGTACGACAAGGCTGCCTGCTCTCCCCCACCCTATTCAACATCTTCCTAGAGAGAATTATGTCAGATGCTCTGGAAGCGCATGAAGGGACAGTCAGCATTGGTGGCAGAACAAAAAGACCACGGTTGGAGTACGACAAGGCTGCCTGCTCTCCCCCACCCTATTCAACATCTTCCTAGAGAGAATTATGTCAGATGCTCTGGAAGCGCATGAAGGGACAGTCAGCATTGGTGGCAGAACAATCACCTACCTACGCTTTGCGGACGACATAGACGTGCTGGCTGGGAACGAAGAAGAGCTAGCCAACCTGGTAAAGCATCTCGATAAGACCTCGTCGTCCTACGGCATGTCAATCAGTGCCGAAAAGACAAAACTGATGACAAATAATAAAGCAGGCATCACCCCTGAAATTAAGGTCGGGGAGGAAAGATTAGGAGCAATAGTCTCAGAAGAAGGCTCCAAGCCCGAACTGATGTCCAGGATTGTGCAGACTACAACAGCACTAAAAAAGCTCAAGAAAATATGGAATGACAAAAATATAGCCCCCAGCACCAAAATCAGGCTGATGCGCTCATTAGTCCTCTCCATTTTCCTGTATGGCTGTGAATCCTGGACATTAACAGCCGATCTTGAAAGGAAAATAAAGGCGATGGAGATGAGATGCTTCAGAAGCATTTTTGGCATCTGCTATAGGGACCATATCTCCAATGATACAGTGAAAGAAAGGGATGTGAATCCTGGACATTAACAGCCGATCTTGAAAGGAAAATAAAGGCGATGGAGATGAGATGCTTCAGAAGCATTTTTGGCATCTGCTATAGGGACCATATCTCCAATGATACAGTGAAAGAAAGGGTGCGTCAGGCAATTGGGGAGTACGATGACCTATGAGCTACTGGTGACTGTGAAAAAATTCTAACTACAATGGTACGGCCACATAACAAGGAAACAAGGGCTTGCCAAAGATATTTTGCAGGGCACCACAAGAGGAGGGAGAAGAAGAGGAAGACGAAGAAAAAAGATGGGAGGATAAAATCAAAGAGTGGACAGGACTAACACTGGGCGATGCAGTGCGAAGTGCTGAAGACAGAGAGGAATGGAGGAGGATGGTTCACATGTCATCTGTGGCACCCCAACGGTCAAAAGACTAAGGGAAATCAGGATGAGGAAAATATACCGAACATGTGAATACAAATTTCCAAAATGAAAAGTACTACCAAATCTAAAATGAATGTAATTACTTTAAATCAAAGGGGCCCAGATTTTTTCCATTAGCCTTGCCTAAGTAATTGATTGACAAATAAAATAAAATGAAGCACGAATTGTCAAGAAGAGAAAATAAAAACTAAATTGCTGATCACCATTCTTAAATTTTGTAAGTGCTGGCCTGGAACTGCAGAGAAAATGATATTTTTTAAAAAGTTGCATGTTAACACTGATAGTTGGTGACTAATAATGTACCCGTACTAACATGTACCAAAGGTACATTGACCACTAATGAACATTACATTGTTCCAGGTTGTGCACAGAGAATGTAACAACAAGGCCTAAATATCATGCCTGAATTACAAAATATGCAATGCTGGTGCATACAATCATACAATTTTAACAGTTTAATTAAAAGCTACACCATGCCAAAACATCATAGATCACATCTATTTCATAAACGACAACTATTAATATGAAGAGAATGCTTTGACAGTTAATGTCTTGACATCTACCTTTAAAAATCAGTTTTTTAAAATTACATTATGCTTCAAAATATACAGTACTGAAATGAATAGACAAATAAAAAAAAAAAAAGCAACTAACATATGCCTTATGTAATTGTTCACAGTGCACCGCCTCGCTGTTCACAGTGCACCGCCTAGCTGTTCACAGTGCACCGCCTCGCTGTTCACAATGTTCATATTGTACATGCCAATTTTCAAACATATCCTGCAACTAAGGTTGCTGCAGACTTCTACCAAAGGGAGACAATTAGCTCAGGCACATTGCTTGACCAATCTTCACAGCTAGTCATACTATATTGTCACGCCTAAATGATGTAGAAGTTTCTGGATAATACCAACAGCCCCTCAAAATCAAGCGAGTTGTTTGGTGATTGATGAAGCCAGCCAAGTGACTGTGGCTTTAATCAGAGATTTCCCCATGACATTTGAATCTTTGAATATCGCGCCCAAATATGTTCAACAATACACCATCCTGGCATTTCTATCTGTCTATGTCATGCAGTATCTGTTACAGAAATGCACCTATACATTAAAACATTCGGTGTCAAGACAGTTCAGTGTCAAGACTGTTTGTGATAGACCACATTGGTACAAAGGTAGCATCTGCTGCAGAACACTTAACACTGTCTACAACCAGAAGAGGGAAATGTCAAGACAACAGCACAACTGTGTTACCATACTTTGAATTTCTCTCTGAATCGTTTCCATCACCTTTTCAAACTCATGACCCTTTCACGACCTCTTCTTTACATAATACTCAACAATGAATACTATCCGTCAACAGATCCACTCCCAACAACAAATGCATAACACAAGTGGTTATTTCCTTTTCAATACTGGGAACGGCGGAGGCTGGTGCCATGCCCGCTAACATATATGTCAGTTCATGATGTGCTCATTTCAGTACTGTTTATTTTGGCGCATATTGTATTTTTAAATATTTAGTAATACCAATAACAAATTATTTGACGTTAGATATTTGAATATTTTTTTAAATACTTTTTTTTTCTCAATAAAATGTTACTTGTTTTGTGCTGTCCTGTTATGAACAAACGCAAAATACTCTTTGCGTTTGTTAATTATGGTATAAAAATATAATTAATCAAAAATAAAATTCTGAAAAAAAAACTATGAAATTGACAAAATTTTGAAAACACCAAATGTTCTGACAGTGATACTGGTGAAATCATCCTTAGGCTAAAAATAAGTTTGATGGTTCCAATATTCCATTAAACCTAATATTCAAACCATTCACTCCTTCAAAACAACATTCAGGTCACATACAACAGATTTAGATGTTACATACTAGCAACGTTCCCTTTAAGCTGCACGGCCGCGCAGCAATCTCACAGACGCAGCGCAGCAGTTTTGAGTATCCACGCAGCAAATTTCCATGTAAGTTTGTGTTTGTGGGCTGTAAAGTTTTGCACACAAAAAAATTTATGCTGTAAAACTTTGCACACACCTGCATGATTTTGCACACGAACCAACAAACCTTAGAGGGAACATTGCATACTAGCCTATATTTATAATTCTAATCTAAGAGACCTGAGCTTCTGTATTGAACACTGTTGTATGTGCTGTAAAACAAGGCTGCACACAACTTCACTAAGAGGCGTACCAACAACTTGTACTAGTAACAAAATGCTGATGAACAAGATCATGGATTTCAAATAGGATGTAAAAATCCAATGTCAGGGTCTTTTAATGTGTTAAGGTACCAGGCACAAGAATGGAGACATTGAGATTTTAAGCTGTGCAACTGAAGCTTTCATTGAGCTGAGCATTTGCTTATGTCGCGTTCAATGCAACAGCTTATTTGTCTACATCGCATGAGTTGATCAGAATTAACTACAATTGAATATCACAATAATCGGCAATTCTATATCAATTCTAGGAGGGTATATTATATCAAAACTATTTCAGTTATTTCATTGTTAAATTAAAGAAATATTAATTTTTTTGTAGTCTTAAACACACTTTATGTTATCTCTCATGAGATGAGAGCCATGAAAACAGTTTAAAACACTTCACTAAAACAGCTCTGTGTCGACTTTGGCAACAGCTTACACCAGTTCACTCATCTGCATCCTCAAACATGCCTCTTTGGACTTGCTCCATCAGATCTCGCCACGGCCAGACCGTCCGAAAGTCAACTTCCTCCTCTTGGGTCTCAGAGTTTTCAAAGAGCCTGCCGTTGCAAGTTCTGCCCTCATCAGAAAAATGAGCGTAGGGTTTTTCCCGTGGCAAAAGGTCTCCGCAGAGATAACAGAAGCTTTGTCCACACATATTACATTTCATATGATTGCAGCCTTCAAGTTTCTGAAACAAGCCAAGAAATACATATAAATGTATTGTTGAAACTTTTTTCTAAGTTTTGATGAATGATTTTCAATACTGGCTAATAGAGATAGATTGTCATTAATGGTTTTGCCATGTAAAATGCTTTATTTAATTTTCTTTTTTAGGATTCAAATAATTCAATCCTTAATAATTTTATTGCATATATTGAATAAAATACTACAGAACTTCTGTTTCCTCAGACTTCCTGTAAAAGAAAATTATAAGTTATGGAATCGTTTTACATGGGATGTAAGAAAACTAAAATCTTAGAGGGATGAAGGAAACTTGTAAAAACTCTAATATAAAAGTGAAATACATAATAATGCATTTTAGGTGTTAATTTTTGTTAAATATCAATTTTCCTTTGATTTATCTCTTTCTAATCATTTCTATTATTTTCCTCAGTGACATCAAGTTTAATAAGGCTAATGGGACATCAGATTTGAAGGTGTTCTTTTCTGCCTGCACTATAAGTACGCTCATATAATTAGGCCAAGCAAAATGCAGAACAAAACTCAGTAGGGAATTTAAACACTTTATTTTCAAAGAATCATTTCATTTATTTTATAGTCTGACATTTATTTAGTACAGAAACCAATGTGACCAACACTACATTGAGAGATGACTTGTAACAGAATGGGCCACAATTAAAAAGAGAGATATTTGAACACTAAAAAGCCCATTAAAAACACCAAAAAGATTTCATGCATGATAGATGCTACAGAAATAACAAAAAATGATGGCTTTGGTAAATGAGCAGAAACTTGAGCACATGAGTGTACTAAGATGACCTTGATGAGGCCCGCTTCATGTTCTAAATGTTGAGGATGATCCAACAAACCTCTGGCACCGACATTCCCACTACAGATGATCGATGTCAACGTCATCATCGTCTTCATCCTCGTCGGTGCTGTCAAGATCATCGTCTAGAAATTCTAAGAATTCATCATGCAGCTCCACCCCTTCAAAAAGTCTGTTGGAACAAGGCGATGTGGGGTGCTGGTAATGTGCGTACGGGTTGGCCTTGGAGAGCTCCTGCTGACACAGCCAGCAGAAGAAGGCACGGCAGTTGGTGCAGGTCATCTTGTTGCAGCCATCTTTTTTCTGAACCACGGTGGGACAATAAATAAAATTGAGTAAGCAACAGATACTAGATAGCTAACGCCCTATAGCTTACACATGGCTATCTCATTTGGAATAGTTTCTTGATTCTCACAAAGCCTGACATTGAAATTTATATCATTAGAACTGTTACAAAAAATGTCATGGAAGTATGGAACAGAAGATGTAGAAATAGTATGGCTCTATTTAAAAAAGGTTTTGGAGGGGACAAATTGGGGGGAGGGGGTGGGGGATTTAATGTTCTGAATGAGTTGAAAGAAACAGGAAGTTAAAGGTTATTGAATTTTTTTTTACAAGAATATAATTGGTTCGTTTATTCTTACAGGATATTTTGGAGACATTCCTTTCAAAATGTTGCTTAAATGTACAGCATTTCATTGAGGCAATACTAATAAATATTCTTTGGACACACCAATTGTTGAGAATAAATTATTGAGAATAAAAAATATACCCCTTCTCAATCCCAGGAGTAGCAAAGATTTAAAAACTTTAACTGTATGTAAGGAGAACAACATTATTCTTATTCTGACATTTAGGAATTATAGTTATTTATGAATGGATTTAATATTCTCTGAAACAAACCACTTTGCCATTCTCACAAAAGCTGTGATGGCACAGACTGAAGTGGGTACATGCCAAGATTAGGTTTCTACAACACAAAGGGTCAAACAATTTTTTTGTTAATATTCCAAACAAAAATGATCGCTGGCACAGGTCGTCTATTTCACAGTGAGCAACTAGGCACAGGTAGTCTATTTCACAGTGAGCAACTAAACAATTTTATAAGTACCAGGTAACAATTTCAAAGTAAACATATGGCTCAGTTGTTTTGAGACAACTTCATAGGAACTAACATAACACACTTTAAATGTATGGTCAAATTATACACACCCAGAAGGTTAGGCCAAATTGAATTATCTACAGTCCATTATATATGGACAACTTGAAGTATACACATACTAGTAGCTATGGACAAGTTGAAATATACAAACACCAATAGGTGTGGACAAGTTAAAATAAACACACACCAGTAGGTTTGGACAAGTTGAAATATGAACACAATTGATATGGACTAATTGAAATATAGACACACACACCAGTAGGTACGGAAAAGTTGAAATATACACACCAGAAGGTATGGACAATCTGAAATATATACACACCAATAGCTATGGAAAAGTTGAAATATACACACACCAATAGGTATGGACAATTTGAAATATACACACACCAATAGGTATGGACAATCTGAAATATACACACACCAATAGGTATGGACAATCTGAACTATACACACACCAATAGGTATGGACAAGTTGAAATATACACACACCAGTAGGTATGGACAATCTGAACTATAACACCCACCAATAGGTATGGACAAGTTGAAATATACACACACCAATAGGTATGGACAAGTTGAAATATACACACACCAATAGGTATGGACAAGTTGAAATATACACACCAATAGGTATGGACAAGTTGAAATATATACACACCAATAGGTATGGACAATCTGAAATATACACACACCAGTAGGTATGGACAAGTTGAAATATACACACACCAATAGGTATGGACAAGTTGAAATATACACACACCAGTAGGTATGGACAAGTTGAAATATACACACACCAATAGGTATGGACAATCTGAACTATAACACCCACCAATAGGTATGGACAAGTTGAAATATACACACACCAATAGGTATGGACAAGTTGAAATATACACACACCAATAGGTATGGACAAGTTGAAATATACACACCAATAGGTGTGGACAAGTTGAAATATACACACCAATAGGTGTGGGAAAAAAACTTCATAGGCATACTAAAATTATATGGCATATGAAAAATTAGTTTGGGCAATTATAAAGAAGATTATTAAACCCATAGCATACACATGCAAGGACAACATAATCACATTAAATGAAAATGGTCAAATATAACTTCGTGCATTTCTAGCAGATCTTTTGGTGCGTCAGAATTTTTCTAGTGGTCAAGTACAACGCTAAGTGCATATGAACGTGTCAGATGATAAATAATTATCCAGCCAACCACTCACAATTAACAGTTTTGGGCTTTACTGCTTACATCATTACTGCTTACATCATTACGACTGTAGGCAGAAATGCAACAATTTAAAATGGTATTTGATGTTAAAGCTACCCAAGTGGGTTGTATCAAGCGTTGTGTACAAGTTTTACGTTTCAGGATAAGTAAATGGCTGCAGCTGACAAGTTTGATCACATTCAGATGTGTCATTGTCAAACTGTGAGTTCAGACTAACAAACTATTTATGTTCATTATAAGCTTTGTTTTTTTGTGTAACAGATACCCAATCAAATATTTTGTAATTTATACTGATAAGGATGATATCATAATGCTTTTAATTTTATGTATAAATCTTTAACGCAGAATAGGTTTCATAATACTGAATGCATAATTAAGTGTAAAATAAAATTGCAAAAAAAATTATATATATTTTGTAACATTCTGATCAAGATTTTTTAGAATTGTAATGTTCAGAAATTGAGGTAACTGTCAACCTTTATATATAACCCAATTCATAAAATGTTAACTTTCCAAAACAAAATATTTTAACTTTCAATAACATCAAAAAATACTATTCTAGAATTTTAAATTTAAAAAATTGTTTGAAAAAAAAAAAAAAACAGCAGCAGAATGGCTGTAAATCAAAATTTGAAAAAATTAAAAAAATTTTTTATCAACTTCTCTAATGTGCCACTGATGGCCCAATGTACCACTGATGGCCCAATGTACCACTGATGGCCCAATGTGCCACTGTTGCCCAATGTACCACTGATGGCCCAATGTACCACTGATGGCCCAATGTACCACTGATGGCCCAATGTGCCACTGATGGCCCAATGTAGCACTGATGGCCCAATGTACCACTGATGGCCCAATGTACCACTGATGGCCCAATGTACCCCTGATGGCCCAATGTACCACTGATGGACCAATGTACCACTAACTGATGGCCCAATGTAGCACTGATGGCCCAATGTAGCACTGATGGCCCAATGTACCACTGATGGCCCAATGTACCACTGATGGCCCAATGTGCCACTGATGGCCCAATGTACCACTGATGGCCCAATGTGCCACTGATGGCCCAAGGTACCACTGATGGCCCAATGTACAACTGACGGCCCAATGTACCACTGATAGGAAACAACTGCATTATTTCACTGGCATTACTCCAGGTCAACATTACTGCCCATGCATGAATAATAAATAGACTACCTGAATGAATGTGCTGCAACAGGGACACTGTTTGCTGTTAGACTCCAGCCATTTATTGGTCTTAGTCTCCTCCAAGGCACGTTGAATCACTTGTTTTCCATATCTCATCTCAAGCTCCTGCTTGCGATTAGATGTGCTGGACTCGTATTCCTCACATAGCAGAGCAAACATTTCTGTGGAGGGATAGGTGGGTTCTTTGTGAGATCAAATATTTCTTATTTATAGTTTGAATAAAACAAAGTTTTCATTAATTAAATTTTGTAGATTATTAAGATTTTTAATATACTTTTTTGAGTAATGTTGTATGGCATATTGTAATTTCAATTTCACAAAATTAATCGTGTCAGAGGAATCTCCGATCTAAACTGCAACAGTTTAAAGAGGGATTGGTATGATAAGAGGTCAGTACAGACATTACGCACCAGATTTCAACTTGCATGGTGAGTGCCCATGATATGTATTCTGACATCTACCACAGAAAGCATGCTTGCATTTGGGGCACAGGCCCAGATTATCTTCAAGGACAACAGGGAACTGACAGAAGGAACGTGGACAGTTCATCACATCTGTCATGACATCAAAGGCTGTTTTGAGAAGGAGTTTATCATAGCGCTGGTACAACACTTCAGATACAACGCTAGCAACCTGGGGAAAAGAGTTGATGACATCTAGAGTTGCATCTTTGGTTAACAGGTGACAAAACTTGAGTAACCCAAATCAGCACCAAGAGCAGCTAAGAACATAGCTAAGAACATAGCAAAGAACATAGCTAAGAACTAGCTAAGAAATAGCTAAGAACATAGCTAAGAACATAGCTAAGAACATAGCTATTTACTTAGTAAATATTGCAAGAGGAATAACATTATAACATAACTGGTGATGGGGGCTAACCTCTGGCAGTAACATTGCTAACCTCTGTGGGTAATATTGCTTTCTCACACTTGTAGCCAGGACATCGAAGGTCACTCACTGCACCATCATTAATCATGGCCTCAATCCAGCCCTTGCTACAGGACTTGCAGTGCTTATGTTCTTCACAGTTCACCAGTCGCAGAAACTCATTGCCAGCTTTTTCCTCCATGCAAACATCACAAGTGGCCAAGTTAAAGTCCAGCACCTATAAATAATAAAATCATGTAACTATTCATTCTGTGTGTGTGGCTCACAGTGATGATAGTTCTCTAAATCTAAATAGTTCAATCAACTCTTACTGCCACTACTTCACAATGAAATGTCAAGTCCAATTTTACACACTAAGCACTGAAACACAATAAATAATCATTGGAATAATAACAGTAATAATATCCCCAAACCAAAATGATATTTGCTCCAAAATATATAGAATCACTTCTTAAACATTCATTAATAAAATGTGCCCCCTCTGATCTAAGATGTCTGCCCAACTCTCTCACTTCAGTCTCATGAATTATGCTCCTGCCAATAAAATAAGTCCCTAACTTCTTGCTTTTCTTAAATATTGCTTCACACAGTCTCATGTGCAAAAATCATGACTGTCACGTACAAAAGCATATGTTACAAATTACAACGAGCTGTGGCATTATGGTGGTTAAAAACTTTTTTCTCTCTCAATATTATGCCAGTCCTTTAACTTCCCTATACCCGTACAAGTCATCTCCTACAACTTCATTAACTAACTTTAATTATTTTATTTTTTCTTCTGGTTTTTTCCCAAAGATGTAAACACATCTGAAAGATCACTATAGTAAACAAGTCATTATGGTCATTAAGGCAGTTCATTTATGGCTAATTTCTACGCTAGAGAAATACTTAAGATGCCTTGTGATTAAATTGTTATAATAGTAAAATGTTGTCTTGGTTAAAATATGCATTTATTTATGTGCTGAAAATGAATATGTACAATGTAATCAAGAAACATTTACATTTATTTGGATCAAGATAATCTAATCTTATCATATTATCAACAGTTTTGGTGAGCTCAAAAAACAACCATCACAAAATATGCACAGTGGACGTCTGAATACTCACCGCAGGTAGGACCTCCTCAATGCTACCAAAAGTCTGTATCCCTCTGATGTCCAAAGGTTTGGGCTTCAAAAGCTTGTGATCATTTTTATCCTGGCCAGGTGGGTGTGTGAATATATGGGACAAAACACGCCCCAGATCATATGGACTTTTAATATCTACAGGATTGTATTAAATCTTAAAATAAAAATCACATGTGTGGAAGAGTTCAAAAAATTGTTAATTAAATGCTAACATTTTCTTTAAAAACCCTGTCATGCAACAGCTTTTAATATGAACTCAATTGGTACGACTTGAACATAAAAACTTGACACAAACCTAAAAAGGCTATAACTTCATGGTCCAAGAAATCATGCCATTCCGCTATCACAGATGTGCCCCGATGTTTTGCCCAGATGTCATCCAGCTTCTCACACAGTCTGGTCAGCTGTAGACAAATGGTATACACACAAAATGCACACATTTGATTCGAACAATATTTTTACCAAGTGTGCGTGTGCTCTAAAGTATAAAATTAACAAAGAGGGATTACTGTTTAATATACATCCCCTATAAACAAAGTTTTTATAAAAAATCCTGTATATGCATTTTTTTATTATTTTATATTAATATTGTAATGACCCACCCGCTTTGAGACCGCAGATTTAGTTAATCAATTGTTTCATAAAAACAAATGAAAATATTACACAACAAAAACACTTATTTTTTTTTAAAAAGAATCTCATGTAGCGCAGCTATCTGAAATTTTATTTCGTGATCTGTGGCATCATATTTCTTTCATCTTCCCCTTGAAAAAAAGGAAAAACTTATTTATTGGGTGTTGGGGTGGAGCTGAAAACTTTAAAGAATGTGTGCTCATTGGCAATGAGTCTACGTGCCAAGTTTCAACTCAATAAGTTGATAGGAAGTGGGTCAATTAGCCATAGGAAGATTTTGCCATCCAGAAATACACGAAAAAAAGCGAAGTTAATATGAAGGATTTTTAAATATTTAAAAATATCTAGGGTCAATGTTAAAAGCCAATTTTTTAGAATGCATTGGTGACATTTCAATTTCTACTCCCATAAACAGTCGGGGAAACAAACAATTTTTTTTTAAAATATAAAACTATATATATTAAAATAAATTGAATTAATGTAGTTCTAAATATAGATTAAATTTTTAAAAAGCATCAGTGGAGCCAAGTGCTTATTTTATTTTGTGATATTTCAAGGTATTTTGGATTTTTTATATTTTCTGGCTCTGATAGTACCAAGTAAAAATATAATTTAATATGCTCTTTTGTCCTATCCTGAGGTTGAAGGTTTAACCTTTTTCTTAATTCATTTTTAAAATGTGGAAAGCTTACATTTTTTTTTTCCAGCCAGCAACAGGACAGAGTGAAATTGGGTTGGTTTGCGGAGGGGTAGTCACGAGGATATGAAAATGTGAGTGTGACAGGTGGAAGCCGTTTTATGTGATATAAGATCTCTGATCCAGCAATAGAAGATGTGCTGCTGATGTAGTGAGGCTCTGAATGATTCACTTCAAGCTCCTTCTTTTTCTCTGCTTCTCGCTGTGCCCTTTTCTGAGCCCAACCTCGTCCTCTGCCAGCTGCAAGGACAACAGAAAAAAAAAAGAAAAGAAAATATATGTATTATTTTAATATTTTAACATTTTCATCTGAATGTTTTAAATAAATATGGATATCTTTCTAGTGGACCTTTCATTGTTTTATTTAAAAAAACTATTGTAATTAAAACCAAATCAATTTGTTTAAAGTTATTTGGCACTGTGGGTGTTTTATTTGCAGAGCATGTTGCCCTCTCTTCATTTGAATAGTCACTTCATTATTACTATCCAACCATTGTACAAAAAATATTATGTTTATGTTAAATACTACAAAAACAATAATGAAACCTTCCCCCTTCTCGTTCACAAACAAAAATTAACTTATAATTTTATTATAACAGTAATATTTTGACATTGGCACTGCCAATCAATAAGAGTCCATTAGTTTATGCACTACGAAACTTGAAAACTTACAAAATGTCATATTCCTTATCAAACGCAGGTCTTTGGTGATCTTGACATAAAAGTTATCAGGCGTTTTAATTGGAATATTAAATATCCCACCTGTAAAAATTATTTGAAGCATTTTCAAGTGGAAACTTAAACAAAATAATATATCATTTTAATTTACAAATTAATGCATTTTATATTTTCAAATAAACATTGAACACTAGATAATTACAATGGAATATCAAAAGTTTATTTTCTTGTTAATTAAATTGATTTTTTTGTGAGTTATGAACAAAAAAGCAACCTTAATGTAATTTTTTTTTCCAACACACATCTCATAGACATACATGTTGTATAGGCCTGTTTTGATATATTGATCATTCATGAGGCTGACTTTATTTATAAAACATTTAGTGTGAAAATGATCAAATGATTTTACGTGATCATCTAGCAACTGATTTCTACAATTACCAGGCGGGTGACCATTCGGATTGTCATGCTTGCAGATTTCTATGTCCTCATTTTCAAATATAGCCTCCAAAGCAAAGAGCTCATTTTCTTGTTCTAGTCTATCCTCTCCTTCTGCCAGTTGAGTTTGCTCCATGAGGTAATTCACACCTGAAATGTTACAAATATAATTAAAAATATATTACTTTACTTCTAAATATTTAGTACTGGATGCGAAAGGTAGGTAATAAAAAATTATAACCTTGCACTACCATTACATGATGTCATTTAATATACATTTTATCTTGCTTGCACTCAAACACTGGAATATTTAAATATTACTTTCAAGACATATTCAAAACAGCATGCATTACAACAAATTAAGTTGTGCTTTCTTTAATTTTAATTTTTTTTATTTCATCAAATGATAAATGCTCAAAAACCTGTCTCTCACAAAGATTTTTAACCCTCTTGAGACGTAAGGGCCAATCTACCGGCCTAAGGTGGACTAGTGAGAAATACAAATGTCCGAACCATCGGCCCAATAAATTGAGCCTAGTGATTGGCTGGCTTGGCATTGTACCAGCGAATCAAATTTATTCGTACATATTCCTGCATATCCCGTGATTGTAATGGCGGCGTTCATTGATGGTGAACTAAATTTATTTGTGTGCAGGAATTTTTTTGTGTGTGTATAGTTATATCGTGAAATTCAAACATGTCTGACAGTGACTCTGATCAAATCGTGCATAGTGATTCTGATTTCTCCCTGTCTAGCAATGAATCTGACACTGATGAAAACAACCAGGAAATTAATAAAGATAATCAAAATGATTATGTTTACGATAATGTTGTGAAACCTTGATTTAGGATTAGGGGTTCTGAATTGGATAGGGAGGACCCCTATTAATTTTTAGAAAAAATAGAGCCTATAATAAGTATGCAGACAACTTTCTCAGTAACAGCCAGTTCAAATAAACCATAATTGGGTGCACAATGTTGAAAAGGACTGCTCTGTCTGTAGCAACCGAAAAGTACCCCGTGGGCAGGAAAAAAAGTAGAACTCTGTGCCAGGGGTGTCTGAAAAGCCTCCATGGGCCTTATTTCCCAAAACACATGTGTTAGGTTCTATTTATGCTTCATCCATCAAAAAATTCACAGAATTCACACTGGTAAGTCATGTTTATTCTCAGTTTAACCAAAAATTGCACACATAAATTATGCAAATCAGGACAGCCCATTTGCATAAATGTTGAGACTTCAGTTTGATTTATAAATAGTGTATTAGCTTATTCAATTTTCTAAAAGAATATATATATATGTACATGATATATATGATATGGTGAAAGAAAGGGTTCGTCAGGCAATTGGTCAGTACGATGACCTACTGGTGACTGTGAAAAAAATCTCACTACAATGATACGGCCACGTAACAAGGAAACAAGGGCTTGCCAAAGAAATATTGCAGGGCACCACAAGAGGAGGGAGAAGAAGAGGAAGACAAAGGAAAAGGTGGGAGGATAACATCAAAGAGTGGACAGGACTAACACTGGGCGATGCAGTGCGTAGTACTGAAGACAGAGAGGAATGGAGGAGGATGGTTCACATGTCATCTGTGGCGCCCAAACGGTCCAAGGACTAAGGGACATGAGGATGAGGAGTTTTATATATGTAAATAGCATATTTTTTATAAATTTTTTTGCAATGTGAGTGCCGAGTTCATAAAAAGTGCTCCGTCTTTTGGCACAGACACCCCGAAAAGGCTCCATTCCAAAAGGGTTAAAACTAGTAAAATACAATTTTTAATTTACTGATCCGTTCCTTTGTTTATATTACAAAAATTATTTAACTAATAATGAGGAGTAGATCAGATCAGATTTTCCTTAATTTAAAAAAAGTATAAAAGGTGAATTACCCAGAATGCCTCCTTCTGCCATCAGCTCATAAGCCCTGAATATAAAATCAGGAGACTGTTAATGATTTTTTCGATGAGTGAGTGTTTTGATTTGTGTTTTGTAATACTCGAGTTGTTAGTGAGCATATTTGGTAAGGAGATTTTTTAAGTGGTTTGGTTGGATTGGTGATTAAGGATCAAACACTCAGCCCACATGGTTTATCCTGCAGGAAGCTTCATTCGGGAAAAAGAATAATAATAATAATAATAATGTTTATTTCAAAAACACGCTTCATCCCCACAGGCTTGAAGCCCGGTACAAAGGCTATAATTTACCACATTTAAAACAAACGAACCACAACAAAAACTAATTGCAAGCATACCAAGTCAAAATCTTTCTACCCATTTCAACCCTAAGCAACACAGCCAATATGCATTAACTGGAAAATATGGTAGACAATCATTATCATCCCAGAAGGTGTTTGCGAAATAGATATGTCTTTAAATTGGTTTTAAAGGTCTCCAGTGTCTGGTTGTATCTGGCGACAGGAAGGGCGGTCCAAATTGTTGGACCAGCAAATGCAAAGAAGTGTCCATATAACATTAGAACAAATATATTATATATTCTGGCCTGGCCTTTACGGTGCCAAGGAAAAGCGGCACCCAGAATCCAGAGCAAAGCCTGAAATAAGGGCCCCTCAGTATATAGCAAAATTGCTACCCTTCGAGTATGTGAAGTAGGCCTATATGGGAATTTATAGTTTAAATTCACTAATTTTTTAATTTTGTTTCCATCTGGGGGCCTAAAGCAGAATAAAGGCAGAGAACAACAGAAACAAGCAAATTTAAAGCAAAAAGCTAGAAATCATTTGTTTTACAAATAGGCCTATGTCTTTTATTATTATGTCATTATGTGCTAATTATTGTTGAGTATGCAAGTTAATTTCATAAATTTTAAAAGCAGAAATTTCGCAAAAATTAGAATACATTTTTTAAAAATAAATATAATTGTTTTATATTATTGCTCTCTTAGTCTCTACCAACCCCCAAAACACTTTACACAAAATGATAAACCACCCCCTACGCCTACACACTAATATGTGCACCAGGTCTCTTACCTCACTTAAAATTAAATGACATCTTAAATGATTAATGATATGCCTTAAATTAAAAAATCAAACTCCGGCTTTATTATTATTATTTTCTTTTTTTTGTGTGTGTGTGTGTAAAGATCAAAATAAAATTAAGTGCGCCTTTGCCTTTTCACAAATTGTGTTCAGTGTTCTTGTTTAACATTGTTTAATTTACACTTTGAGCAAGGAATAACAAACGTGATCCATGTAAGGAATAAAAAAGTTAAGTATATGGGATGGCGCTGTTGTAAAAGTAGCGAAAGAGGGTGTTGGCGGTGGGTGAAGGGGGGGAGCAAAATTTCGTCTGCCTTAGCCCCCCCCCCCCCCCCCCCCCCCACACACACACACCCCACACTCATCTGTGGACAACTGGTTCTAATCCGGCACTGATTATGGACGTAGTCCTAAGATAAACAAAGCCTATATTACAAATACCCAAATAAAAATCAATATCTTACAATTAACACAGTAAACAGCAATAAATTCCTCCTCTTATACTTGTTGCATAATATGAATATTTCTCATTACACTTCGTCATGATGATGCAAAAGTAACCGAAAGTAGATAGCTAGCCAGATTTTACAAGTAAAATAAGTTCAGGAATCAAATATTTTTAATGTCGAATTCTATAAATAAGAATCCAGTCGTAAAAATAACAACAATAAGGGTTCTTCCATCCAGTAAATCAGACATTAATGCCAATTTTATTCAACTTTTATTATTTGAAAAAAAAAATATATTTTAAATTTTAAGATTTTATACAAATATTGCAAATCGACATTATTTTGTACTCGAAAGATTTCGTTTACATCGGATTAAACCTAAAGCAGGATTGCCAGATTGGCTTTTTAAAAAATATATATATTTTTTACATCAAATAAAAGTATATGTTGGGTTTTTTTCAGATATTTTGATGTCATTTTGTTGGGCTTTTTATTGTATGGCTTTTTCACCAGTCTTTAATTTTCCAACATCATCACATTCAGATTGCGTGCTGTAATTTTACTGTGCCACGTCTTGATGTTTGCGTAGTTTGGCGAGTAAGAGAGGGTATTTTCTTATTTTACATTTTTCCTCCAATCGGCAATCGTTAACTTAACGTATGAAATATGAAAAAGTGATGATTCAATACCTTGGCCTTGGTATAAAAGCCGTGTACACTTCGTGACCGAGAGTGAAACTTGGTATTTTTTGCTAGGAGAGTTGGTGAACAACATTTTTCAAAGGATTGAAATGTGTGGTTTGTTTTTGGATACAATTCTTTTGCAGCCCTCTAGAGTAAAACTTTTCAGCTATGAGCTATTTTTATTTAATTCTGTTTTTTCTGTTGTCTGTAATGCCGACACGTTCGTTGTTTTGTTGCGTTCATTTTATCAAGTTTTCCCATACTTTGTTTCACTCATTTCCTTTTAAATTTCAGCGTACCGTCACTCGTGTTGCATATCTCTACTGCCGCGTCACAAATGACATCATCTGGGGGCCAATGTTCCCTCTACGGTTTTTTGGTTCGTGTGCAAAATCATACAGCTGTGTGCAACGTTATACATCAATTGTTTTTGTGTGCAAAATTTTACAGCCCACAAACACAAACACACACTTACATGGAAATTTTCTGCGCGGATATGCTGCGCGGCATCTGTGAGATAGCTGCGCGGCTGCGCAGCTTAAAGGGGACATTGCTAGGGGCCCACTAGTTGCAAATAACTTATCAGTTGGCTCAAATTCAATTATTTTGACGTGTGTGGGGGCATAAAATTTGAATTTGCCTATGGTCCCAAAATACTCTGCACTCTGTTGATCAAATGTCAAATGTGATAGTGTCAGGTTTTGTTTCTCGGTTTATATCTTAGGTTGCTTAGCGTTATTTTCCAAAATACCAAAACTCTCTGTTTGAAAACACGTTAAATTTATTACCCATCATATTGAAATTCACCAAATACTAACACAATCACCTATCATTTGAAATCCACCAAACACTAACATAATCACCTATCATTTGTAAGCCACCAAACACTAACATAATAACCCATCATTTGAAAGCCACCAAACACTAACACAATAAAAAATCATATTGAAAGCCACCAAACACTAACACAATCACCTATCATTTGAAAGCCACCAAACACCAAACACTAACTCAATCACCTATCATTTGAAAGCCACCAAACACTAACACAATCACCCATCATATGAAAGCCACCAAAACACATCATTTGAAAGCCACCATTAACAAAGTCACTCAAATGAATGCCGTAAGTTTTGAAAGGAAAAAAAAAACATCACTTACTTGAACAATTTCTTTACCAGTATTCGGCGGTAAAAGTTGGCATTGCAAAAAAAAAAAAAAAAAAAAAAAAAAAAAAAAAAAAAATATTTAAAAAAAGTCTCTGATGGAATCTTCATCAAGAAAACATGCAAGACCTGTTTACATAATATGATTGGGCGCTGTTACATAATATTCTTGCATGCTGTTTTATATTCCGTGTCCTCTTGATTCCGGGCGAAACGAGACTTGGTCTAGTTCCTTAACATTAACAGGCCCAAATGGGGTGAGACGAGACTTGTTCTAGTTCCCAGTTCCTTAACATTAATAGGCCCAAATGGGATGAGACGAGACTTGTTCTAGTTCCCAGTTCCTTAACATTAATAGGCCCAAATGGGGCGAGACGAGACTTGTTCTAGTTCCCAGTTCCTTAACATTAATAGGCCAAAATGGGGCGAAACGAAACTTGTTCTAGTTCCTTAACATTAATAGGCCCAAATGGGGCGAGACGAAACGTGTTCCAGTTCCCAGTTCCTTACATTAATGGGCCCAAATGGGACGAGACGAGACTTGTTCTAATTCCCAGTTCCTTACATTAATAGGCCTAAATGGGGCGAGACGAGACTTGTTCTAGTTCCTTAACATTAATAGGCCCAAATGGGGCGAGACGAGACTTGTTCTAGTTCCCAGTTCCTTAACATTAATAGGCCCAAAGGGGGCGAGACGAGACTTGTTCTAGTTCCCAGTTCCTTAAAATTAATAGGCCCAAATGGGGCGAAACGAGACTTGGTGTAGTTCCTTAACATTAATAGGCCCAAAAAGGCGAGACGAGACTTGGTATAGTTCCTTAACAATTATAGGCCCACATGGGGCGAGACGAGACGTGTTCTAGTTCCCAGTTCCTTAACACGAATAGGCCCAAATGGGGCGAAACAAGACTTGGTCTAGTTCCTTAACATTAATAGGCCCAAATGGGGTGAGACGAGACTTGTTGTTGTCCCCAGTTCCTTAACATTAATAGGCCCAAATGGGACGAGACGAGACTTGTTCTAGTTCCCATTTCCTTACATTAATGGGCCCAAATGGGACGAGACGAGACTTGTTCTAGTTCCCAGTTCCTTACATTAATAGGCCCAAATGGGGCGAGACGAGACTTGTTCTAATTCCCAGTTCCTTACATTAATACGCCCAAATGGGACGGGACGAGACGAGACTTGTTCCAGTTCCCAGTTCCTTACATTAATGGGCCCAAATGGGACGAGACGAGACTTGTTCTAGTTCCCAGTTCCTTTCATTAATAGGCCTAAATGGGACGAGACGAGACTTGTTCTAGTTCTCAGTTCCTTACATTAATAGGCCTAAATGGGACGAGACGAGACTTGTTCTAGTTCCCAGTTCCTTAACATTAATAGGCCCGAATGGGGCGAGACGAGACTTGTTCTGGCTCCCAGTTCCTTAACATTAATAGGCCCAAATGGGACGAGACTTGTTCTAGTTCATAGTTCCTTAACATTAATAGGCCCAAATGGGACGAGACTTGTTCTAGTTCATAGTTCCTTAACATTAATAGACCCAAACATAAATCAAATAATTTCCTTAAATGCTGGAATAAAAAAAGTTTTGTTTTTGTTTTTTTCAATCGCGTGTGTTTAGTTTATTTTACAATACGAAACTTTCAAAACAGGAAAGCTGCACCCAGAACGATATCGAATAGAACTCGGCCTACCCCCGAAACAATACAACTCATTACGTCATCATTTTTTCATATTGTCTACCATATACCAAGAAAAAAAGAAACATAACAGTTGTCATGAACACACTTACATTTGCCTTACTTTTATTGATCAGAGCACACATACCACTGAAGCACACATACCACTGGAGCACACATACCACTGAAGATAATACAAACTCTGCGATGTCAGTACTGTAGTTTATTTATTTTAATAAGGAATCTTATATAAACAGACCAACATTTGAACGTAATATTACACGACCCATTACGAAAATAATGTAAGGCACTTGGGCGCATCACTTTCTATGGGTGGAATCAGTGGCGTAGCTAGGGTTAGTATCACCCGGTGAGGTCCGCGCCCCCCCCTTTTAGCTACGCCACTGGGTCGGACCCCTGTGCTTGGTTCTATCGTTATCGAGACAAAATGTTATAAAAAAATACACAAAACACATTTGCCTCTCATTAACTTTTGCGACCCCAAGGTTGCGCACCACTAATTTAAGGCACCGTTCCACACATGTCATGATATTGGTTTTCTTGATTTGGCTCAGAGTGTGCTTTTTATTTTCCTTCTTATCAAACATTTTCGAAGCAGTCTGATGTAACAGAAATACTTACAAAGTATTTTAAATATTTACAAGTCAATAATCAAAGTGTAGACAACAGAACTGTGACAAAACAACGGCATAAGTGAAATAAAACATATTTTGCGACATAAACTTCATCGTTGATCATTTGTACCCCCTTGTTGCATGACTTGTTGTCGAGCGAAACACAATGGAAATTGTCCCTAATAATAATAGCAATCATTTCAGAAATGCCCTACTAATAATTTCTAGATTTTCCGTGGGACTTAATTACTGTAAGTCACTATAGACGTTAAGCGTATGTTACACGTGAGTGCTAGCTGGATCACGTGTTTGCTAGCTGGATCACGTGTGTGCTGGCTGGATCACGTGTGTGCTGGCTGGATCACGTGTGTGCTGGCTGGATCACGTGTGTGCAAGCTGGATCACGTGTGTGCTGGCTGGATCACATGTGTGCTAGATGGATCACGTGTTTGCTAGCTGGATCACGTGTGTGCAGGCTGGATCAGGTGTGGAAGCTGGATCACGTGTTTGCTAGCTGGATCACGTGTGTGCTAGATGAATAGATGAAAATACTTAAAAAGACAAATATAAGATAAATCAACACATAGTCATAAATAATCATCACATTTTTCCTTCCTTAAAAGACAATATGAGAAATTAATTGTAGATTTAATTTTTGTGCAAAGTGTAAGCGAATGAATTCACACACAATAAAAAAACCAACACGTGCAGAGATAGTGGCGCCGGAAGTGCGTCATTCATAAACTGAGCCGAAGGTCATGGCGGCTCAACGAGCCCCGGATTATGGCGCTCCGCGTCTCCTTGGTGATGTTATTATCACCCAGCAACAACGACTTCAGTCGCGTGGCCTTGTTCAGCAGCACGATGACGTCATCCTCAACATCATTTCCTATCAAGTTGCCCGTCAGGTCGAGCGTGACCAGCGCCTGGCTTTCCACGGTTGACCTGAGAAGCACCTTGGCCTTCTCGTCCGACAGTCCGTTGTAGCTGAGCAAAAGGTGTTTGAGGGTCGGCGACGACCTCACGATGTCCGCTAGTTTTGTACACACCTCAATGGTCAGCGCGGGTCTGAAGAACGTCTTCTTCGCGTCATTTTTGCTAAACTTACGGGTCGACGAGAGCAAGGTTAGCTCCAAGGTCGTGAGCACGAGTCGGGATATTTGTTGGTGGATGTGGCCCACTATGGAGCACAGACAATGGGACGGGACGAAGCAGTTTTCCAAGGTCAAGGACGAAAGCTCGGGGCAGTTGGAGACCTTGTCGTTGACCTTCTCCGCGACGTTGTCGATGTTGCACCGCTTGACCTGAAGACCGGTCAGGATGTCCGGCCAGCAGGTCAGCACGTAACCGACTCGGTGGTGGTAGCTGAAGCGATCCAGAACCAGGGTCTTCAGGCCGCGTTGCTCGTGGAACGTCTTGAACACGCGCTTGTGTTCGCCCGGGGTCAGGTTCTCCGCCACGTTCATCGGGCCTTCCAGGTACAGCGTCTCGATGTGGTCGTTCTTCTCGAAACACTCGCAGACGAAGTCCACGAGAAAAGACGTCTCGACCACGCACTTCATGCTGATCTTCAGGACGGTGAGTCTGGTCAGCGCCCGCAGAGCCTCGGCGAGTCTCAGTCCCAGATCCCACTGGGCGTAGAAGCCGCTCATGTACAGGACGACCTCCCTGACCGCCGGACTGCTCCGCATGGTCAGGCAGATGAAGTGGTCGATGGTCTCCGAAGGGCAGTCCTGGTAGGAGATGACTAGGGTGTCCGGGAAACGGTTGGAGACTGCCCCTATGTAAGGCTCGCTGTTATCCGTCTCCGCCAGCCAGATGAGAGCTTCCTTGTAGTCCTCGAGGTACCTGGAATGAAGCAGACGCATTAAAGATATTAATATAATCTTTATAAGTAATAATATAATCATTATAGTCACGGCTGTGGATTATGACATGAAGAACGCATCAGCGACGTGCCCATATTCAATATGGAGGGTGATGTTTCTATCATAATACACACATTTATATATTTGTTTGTGTGGGAGTAAGTCTTAAACACTCAATAAATATGTTGATCTTCCATGCCCTCCCTACCCTCTCAGCCCCCTCACTATCCTTTTAACCCTCACAGCCCTCCTTACCCTCCCACACCTCCCTACTCCTACCCCTACCTACACCCCCACACCCTATCCTCCCATTAAGAAATAGCCTCTAACACACAGCTTCTAATACATAGCTTCTAACATATAGCTTCTAGCATATGGTTTATAAAATATAGCTTCTAACATATTGCTTCTAACATATAGCTTCTAACATATAGCTTCTAACATATAGCTTCTAGCATATAGCTTCTAGCACATAGCTTCTAACATATAGCCCTAGCACACAGCTTCTAACATATAGCTTCTAACATAAAGCTTCTAACATATAGCTTCTACCATATAGCTTCTAACACATAGCTTCTAACACACAGCTTCTAACATAGAGCTTCTAACATATAGCTTCTAAATATAGCTTCTAACACATAGCTTCTAACACAGCTTCTAACATATAGCTTCTAACATATAGCTTCTAACATATAGCTTCTAACATATAGCTTCCCACACAGCATCTAACACAGCTTCTAACATATTATAGCTTCTAACATAGAGCTTCTAACACACAGCTTCTAACATATAACTTCTAACATATAGCTTCTAGCATATAGCTTCTAACATATAGCTTCTAACACATAGCTTCTAACACATATCCTCTAACACATGGCTTCTAACATGTAGCTTCTAAATATAGCTTCTAACATATAGCTTCTAACACATAGCTTCTAACACATAGCTTCTAACATATAGCTTCTAACATATAGTTTCTAACATATAGGTTCTAACATATAGCTTCTAACATATAGCTTCTAACATATCATCATCATCATGTCCCTTAGTCCTTGGACCGTTGGGGTGCCACAGATGACATGTGAATTATCCTCCTCCATTCTAACATATAGCTTCTAACATACAGCTTCTATCATAAAATATCTTCAAGTATATTCTGTAATCCGACAAATTGATGCTCACTGCTTGAGAGCATCATGCAAAACTAGATACGCAAGGTCTTCACAAACACAAGGCCTTAGGAAGATCAGGCAAATCAAATGGCCAAACATCATCACCAACAAAGACTTACTGGAAAGGACGACATACCAAGTGCATACTGCTGAAGACTTAAGAAAAGATGGATGTCACAGGAAAGGACATACCAAGTGCATACTGCTGAAGACTTAAGAAAAGATGGATGTCACAGGAAAGGACATACCAAGTGCATACTGCTGAAGACTTAAGAAAAGATGGATGTCACAGGAAAGGACATACCAAGTGCATACTGCTGAAGACTTAAGAAAAGATGGATGTCACAGGAAAGGACATACCAAGTGCATACTGCTGAAGACTTAAGAAAAGATGGATGTCACAGGAAAGGACATACCAAGTGCATACTGCTGAAGACTTAAGAAAAGATGGATGTCACAGGAAAGGACATACCAAGTGCATACTGCTGAAGACTTAAGAAAAGATGGATGTCACAGGAAAGGACATACCAAGTGCATACTGCTGAAGACTTAAGAAAAGATGGATGTCACAAGACAATCCCTAACATGGAATACACGGGGGAAAGGAAGAGGAAAGGCAAAAGAATACTAGGAGACGTGAGCTAGAGGCAGACACACAAAGTATGGGATACATGGAGACGTTAGCTAGAGGCAGACACACACAAAGTATGTGATACATGGAGATGTTAGCTAGAGGCATACACACAAAGTATGGGATACATGGAGACGTTAGCTAGAGGCAGACAAGGAAAAGAAAGCCCTGGACCTAGATGAATGGAACATTCTTGTAGACTGCCTGGGCCCCCAGGGAGGGGGGGGTAAAAGACATAACTATCCAATTTAACTCACCCTCTGGTTGTTTCTGGAGATGCTGGCGATGAGTAAGGACAAAGGTTTGATGTGTTACTCAACAGGCGGTTAAAGCTCAGCGATGTTTTCAAAGAAGGTGGACCTTCGAAGCACGTGCCCAAGATGGACGTGGAAGAACGTCTTTGTTTTAAATCTTCCTTTTTGGCCCTGAACGGACAGTCCGAATTGGAGATTCTGTACCGGTGCGGCATGCGGACTCGCATGGGCGGCTCCCCGAAGTTGATCGGGGATGGGCCACGGGGAGGAGGGGAGACCTGAAGACCGAATGGAGCTTGATTGCTGAGCTCCTGAGTGGTGATCAGCATGTCCAGCAGGTTGAGGATGAGATCGGATCGTTCCAGGACGTAGAGGCTCCTCACTGTGAGGCGGATGACGGGATAGAACTGAGGCTTGGCGATCAGCCTCTGGATGAAACCCTCGCATTCTCTGTCTGACATGAGGTACCGACAAACCCTCTTCGACGCGAGGAAGTCACGAATGCAGCGACTCGTGAAAGAGACGATCTCCCCGCTGGCCTGGGTCGTCTGGACCTGCTTGAGGGGTTGCTTCTTGGTGTCTATCGACAAGGACTTCGGCCGATCTGCGGCGTTCTTCTTGGAGGAATCGCTCGGCACGTAGATGAGAGGTACTTGCAGGTGGGCTCCGCTGAACGTCGAGGTCACGTCGGGTCGGTTGTCACCGCCGTCGTGGTCGGTCTGGTTGCTTGAGCTGGGATCTGGCTGAAAACTTACTTCAAAGTTGGACGAAGCGCTGCTGTGGACGGAATCGCTGTCGGGGGTAATGACGGGATTGATTATCGGCGAAGAGGGTCTCTCGTGAATGGAGGCGAAATTCGCGATCTCGTGGACTTCGTGCAAAACCCGACAGTCACACAAGTGCCGGACCCAGAACTGCTTGGGAAATTTCTGCTTCGAGAAATAATTCGTATCGTTCTCTAGGCACTCGAAGGCCACAGTTTCGCAGACGCCCTGCAAGGAAAACCGTTGCCTCCTTCCTTTCGTTATGTTCTGCACGGTGTTCGTCTCGTGCGCCATGGCGTGGTGGATCAGGTTCTCCAAGAGCTCCGAAAGATGCTCGGGTATATAGTCCTCGTCCCTGACGCTTCTGAAGTAAGCCGCGAGCAGAGATAGGCTCAGAGGGTTGCACAGTAGCTCCTGTGTGTGGTTTGATGAGAGGAGGAACGCTATCCTGTCGACAACGTTCGGAGCTTCCGTCCTCAGCCGCGTCAGGAGCGTTTTATTGCTGTACTCGGTGGCAAGCCCGTAGCAGTAGAACAGGGTGTCGACGTCTCGTTTCGAGATCCTCCCGGGCGTGGCCGCCGCGATCATTTTTCCGAAGCCGTCTCTGTCATGGAAGGCGTCGGAGATGAGGCGCTGCCAGGCGTCCGAGCCGTCGACGTTGTCGAAGATGATGCAGATGTCCTCTCGATTGGCCAGGACCCAGTGGTAGACGGCGTCAAACGAGAGTGGGGTGTGTGGGACGTCACTCAAGATCAGGAGGTCAAGCAGCACCGAGGCGGCCACGTAGTAGTGCCGGACCCGAGAGTTGTTGCACTTTGTAAGTATCTCGGCCAGGGACATTCGCACGCACGGAACGTAAATCATGGCCTTGTAGTCCGTGAGGTTGCTGGTCAGTCGGGAGGGGCGCTGGCGCCTGGGCTCGCGGAACTGCCCTTTCATTCTGTTCGGAGACTCGAAGGCGCCCTCTCCAGGCGAGCCGATGTTGAGAAGAGAAAGGTACTTCTGAGGTATGCCGTCGCAGATGGCCTTCTCGCGTTTCTTGTTGATGCTCTCCCTTTCAGTGTCACCGCTGCTTCTACTCCTGCTGCCTCTTTGTGCAGTCCCCTGTGACCCCGACCTTGCCCTGTTTTCAGGATTCGATGTTTTCTTCTGCTCCGCAAAAATATCTCTTCTTGACCTGTGGTCACCATTATCCCCACCGTCGGCTTTCTTCTCTCGGGGGCCGCACGGTACCTCCGCACTCTCTTGACCTTTCTTCGGATCCTCTTGATCCGAACTTTTATTTAACCCACCATCGTGGCTCTTGCTTTTACTAACCGTCACCTTTATCCCGACAGGGTCTTTTGGGGAATTCCCTTGGTTCCACGGGGTTTCCCCGAACGCCTCCAAATTCCACGGCCGCCTCGGTCGCCTAATGTCATTATCAGCTACCTCCGAGGTTATTTCGGTCCCGTCAGGTCCGGGTCTGCCATCGCTGTCCTTAATGGCGGCCTCGGACTCGACCTTGGACTGTTGATGTTTGTAATATCCCTGATATACCGCGCCGGGGTCAGCCTCTGCGTCGGCGGCCACCGTGATGTAAGGCTTGTCGATCTTGACGTGCCTGAAGAACTGCATGGCCTTGGCCCATTCGTGGAGAAGTCTCTGGCAGACCAAGGTTTTCCCCGTGCCCAGGTCGCCCTCGATCAGCACTCGGCGACAGCCCGCTTTGCTTTTCTGCGAGAGGCTTTCCAGTGAGGCATTTTCTAACCTGAAATAAAAGGAGGGTAACAGTCGAGTTTATTTTCGGAAAACTGTGCTTTTAAAAAAAATTGATTTTAAAAAAAAAATGTTTATGTTAGGTTTAACATTTACAAACGCAAATAAATGTTAAAGTATTAACGAAGATTAATTTTAACTTAATCCCAGACACATTTTTATTGTGTGTCACACCCCAGACACATTTTTATTATGTGTCACACCCCAGACACATTTATATTATGTGTCACACCCCAGACACATTTATATTATGTGTCACACCCTAGACACATTTTTATTATGTGTCACACCCCAGACACATTTTTATTATGTGTCACACCCCAGACACATTTTTATTATGTGTCACACCCCAGACACATTTTTATTATGTGTCACACCCCAGACACATTTTTATTCTGTGTCACACCCCAGACACATTTTTATTATGTGTCACACCCCAGACACATTTTTATTATGTGTCACACCCCAGACACATTTTTATTATGTGTCACACCCCAGACACATTTTTATTATGTGTCACACCCCAGACACATTTTAATTATCAGACCTGTTTACCCTCAAACTCTTCAAAACGTACAATATCATCACAAAATCGTTTAAAACATTATCTTAATTTTAAAATAATAATCCTAAAGTATAAACATGTTTTTAAGCAGATCTTTTCCGCTGCCAAGAAGCGTGTAACTCAGAGTGTTTGTCGTGCTAAGACTTCGTATTTTAGCCAAAAGATAACTATGGGTAAAACCAGCAGGCAGTTGTTTGATGTTTGTGGCCACCTTAGAGGGAGTAACAAAGGAACTTCTCTTCCTTCAGTATTTCCTTTGCCCCAGCAACCAGATATTTTCTATGATTTCTTTATAAGCAAAAATGCTGGAATTCGCGCTGAGTTTGATCGTTTTGATGCACCATCCCTTGATGTGCCTCCTTTTCCTTGTCTTACTTCACATTTCGATATTTTCAAACCTGTTTCAGAAATTGAGGTCAATGGTATAATTTTAAAAATCTAAACCCACGTCATGTTATTTGGATCCCATCCCCGACCCCCCTGTTGGTTGAGTCATTAGATATTTGCTCCCAACGATAACCCACATAATAAACGAAAGCTTGTCTTCTGGCACTGTTCCCCCTGTTTGTAAATCAGCTGTTATCAAACCATTGCTTAAGAAGCCTGGTCTGGATGAAAATAATTTTAAAAAAATTATAGACCTGTATCTAACTTATAATTTTTATCTAAAGCTATTGAAAAACTAGTTCTAAAACAACTTTTTGCTTATTTAATTGACCACTTTCTTCTCAGTTCTAATCAGTCGGCCTATAGACATTTTCACACCACAGAGACGGCTCTCTTGAGAGTGACCAATGACCTTTGCTCGCATTGGACGGTGGTGATATCTCCATCCTGATCCTCTTAGACCTCAGTGCGGCCTTTGACACTGTTGACCATGAAATCCTTTTCAAAACCGTTTGAAAATTACTTTGGAATTTCTGGTTCAGTTTTGGCTTGGTTTGGGTCCTACCTCTCTGATAGAACGAAGGCGGTCTCTGTCGATGGCTGTCTCACAGGCAGTGCTGACTTGGTCTACGGAGTGCCACAGGGGTCCGTTTTAGGCCCGGTTCTATTCACATTGTATATTAGACCACTTCTTCTCTTGCTTGGGAGGCATGCTGTTGAGTGCCAGTCATTTGCAGATGATATGCAGCGATACAAGCATACCCATCCATCTCTTGTCGATTCCGCTGTCCAGACTTTGCGGGGGTGCATTGATGATGTCAAGTCATGGATGACACTCAGCAAGTTGAAGCTTGATGATGATAAAACGGAAGCACTCCTCATTCACAATCACACATCATCCTCTACCTCAACTCTTCCCACCTCATTTCAAGTAGGTAACTCCGACATACTGTTTACACCCTCTACTAGGAATCTTGGTTATATTCTTTCTAACAATATGTCTATCGATAATCATATCTCTCACATTTGTCGTTCGGCATACACCGCTATCCGTCAGATCAGTTCCATCCGCCACTACTTCACAGTTAGCGCTACAAAAACTCTGGTCTGTGCTCTTGTTCTCTCTCGTCTTGAGTATTGCAACTCTCAGGTTCACCAAAACAATGCATAGAAAAACTGCAGAAAGTCCAAAACTCAGCTGCTAGGCTAGTTCTAAAGGCAAAAAAACTTGATCACGTCACTCCACTACTCCACTCCCTTCATTGGCTCCCTATACAGGCACGCATTGACTACCAGTTGTCTGTTCTCTGTCACAACTTTTTCCCGGATTCCTGCCCTTCCTATCTAACCGAACTTATTTCTGTCTATTCACCCCTTCGACAACTTCGCTCATCCGCAGATACGCGTATTCTGTCCGTTCCCAAGACACACACTAAAATATATGGTGAACGATCTTTCTCTTTCTGCGCCCCCAAACAATGGAATTCTTTGCCACTACACATTCGCAATATACCAACCACCCAGGCCTTCAAAACTGCACTAAAAACACAACTCTTTAAACTACACTACCCTGACTCATCCCCTCCTCTGACCGATAAATGATCTTGCTGACTGCCGTCTATGGTTTGCCTTGTAAAAGTCTTGGGGTTCATGCTGCTCTTTATTTTATAATTGTATTGTATTTTAATGTCATCATTATGTCTCTTTTGATAATATTTTTATGTACAGAGCGGTGAGCCCAGCCCTAGGCTGGGGTACCGCGCTATAAAAGACCACTAATCATTATTATTATACAACTTAAAATCGTGCATTGTCCGCCAAAATCGTAAGAGTAAACAGGTCCGCCATACCCATACAATTGAAATGATACCCATCCAAGAGATTAGCAACAGGTCTACCATACCCATACAATTGAAATGATACCCATCCAAGAGATTAGCGCGGGGAATATTCTATGGAACACCGCTTTGTCAAGATTACTTTAAATAACGTGATCGGTTGGGGGGGGGCGCTACTACTTGGATGACGTCAGCTGATCACTTTATTATGTATCCCGTTTTTTTAATGGTTTAAGAGAACAATACCAGCCCCCCCCAATACCAGCCCCCCC